GGGTTTCACTGTCATCGCATGCGTGGCTTGATTTTTTGCGCAGATAAAACTATGGGTTTGTTCAGCTTGCTTATAAGTGATTGCAGGTTTTGGATTCAACGTGAAGGGGCAGGTGGGCGAAGGGGGTCAGATGCGCAGCATCAATGGCCAGCTGTACGCCCCGCTGCAACATGTCAGTGCCGTGCTTCGTGGTGGAGCTGCTGCCAAAGCGGGCTTGCTGAAAGGCGATCGCATCCTGCAAGTGTATGCTTCCCTTCTTGTTCACTAGCGGCAGAATCGTTAGAAAAGCAATGACTCTGAAGACCAAGGGATAAAAATTTCAAAAAAGATGGCTGTTGACACAGTGGTGTGACGAGGAAAAGTAGGTGGGAAGTTCGAAGGGGAAAAAAAGTTTTTTTTCCCACTCCAGCAGCGAAATCATCTCTTTCTGCGGTTCGTTTTTATTGAACTAGAGCTAATTGACGTTGAAGTAGACCTAAATCGTTTTGCTTCTGAGCACTTTTCGCAAAAGAAGGAGCCAGTAGTTGGAGGCTTTTGTCACTTTCTACAAACCGAACTTTTTCTTGAGCCCCTTTACGTCGCCCGGAAAGCGATTCTGACGGAATTTCGAACGATTGAAACGGGAAGAAGAAATTTTCATTCTTCATGGGCATGCCAGCTACATGCCAGTATCTTGCAGAAATGGAGTAAATGTGGAGGGTTCAATGCACAAACAGGTTGTGGAATTGATAAAAGATGGCGGCGATCAGCTATCGTTGGTTGTGATTTCGGTGGATGCTGTCGATGCGGAACGCTTCGAAGGCGGCCTCATCGAAGAAAGTTCTGCCATCTATAGGTAACCGTGTTTTTTGATACTTCTTGTCAAATGTAGTTTCATCGCAGCATATCTCCGAACCACCACCATTGTTGTCATTCTATTTGTGTATCTATATGTATGTATGTGTGCATGTTTGCATGTATGTTTGCATGTATGTTTGTATGTATGTGTGTATGTATGTATCTATGTGTGTATGTATGTATGTGTGTATGTATATATGTATGTATGTATATATGTATGTATGTATATATGTATGTATGTATATATGTATG